ATCCTCTCTGAATCCACTGGAAGCAAAACATTGACATATTCGGTCTAACCAAGGATGACCTGAATATGTACAAGAGATTGAATCTGATATTCAACATGGCAGCCATGACCACAAACCCATTACTCTGCCATGATTTAAAAATGCAACTACAATTTGATATTGTGTGTATTGTGACTGAATTTAACACAAATATACGTTGAAATATTACAAAATTGACCTTGATTTGACCTTTTCAATTAGATGTTTCTTTCTTAGTTCCAAGACAGCTCTTGAAATTGGACAGATGAAGCAGAAATTTGGTATTCATGATTTTGTTAAGAATATTACTAAAAATCTAATTTTGGCAAAGAAACAGGAAGCCTTAAAATGCTAAACTTTTGTGCAAAGGATAATGCCAACAAATAGATACAATTTTGAGAAAGCTTCTCGTCAAACATGATTGGCCTTCAACTTAAACTGTCGTAAACAATATTGCAAAATGGAGATGTTCTCAATCTGTTGCACCAAATACATCAGCCCAGCATTGATGTTTGTCACCACCACGTTTATAGTTGGCACATCCAGAGCAGGTCAAGGCTTGACAAAAATGCCCATTAAAATGTTTTTGGTTTCTGTCTTGAAATGCGTTCTGCTTTTTCTGCTTATATATACATATGCCCTAGCCCTGCTTTGGGATGGATTTTCCAAACTACTGTCATAACTTAACAATACCTCCTGGCACATCTGAAAGTGAAGGTATCAAAGTGGGTCATTTGGAAAAGTGGTTGTATCACTGTTTGCAATACTCAGGCACAGCGGTCACATAGCTGGAACATTGCAGAGAGTGGCGATATACAACAAACACACACTTGTGCACATTTACTTCTACAATCCTGAGACTTGAAAACGGTAGCATTTCCTCGATTGTAATAAGCAATGTCAAATTCGCTGTCCAGGTCCCAAGCATAATTCCACTTTTTCTGTGTAACTTTTGTATACAATTGTATCATTTGTATAGTGTTATACCAGTATCAAGTTATTTTATGAGTAACATATACATTTGGGTTTGAAAACCAGAAATCATAAGAGCAGAAGTGCATATGTCGGTCTTATGAAGGAAGCTAGAGCCAGGACTTTGTTCAATCCTATTGCACTGAACCTATACTTTTACCCGAATTGGAAGTGATATCAATATTATACTGAAAGTGTATTTCTCACGAAGTAAGCATGGTAAGAGGCTTGGTAAGCTGGAGCTAAAGTCCAGTTTGTGTGAAAAGAAAGTGAATTAAAACAAGAGTCATCAGAAAGATGACATATCCACCCGGCAGCTGAAATGGAAAGAAAAACGTGTGTTTCTGTGGGTTTTTTTTATGCAAACAAATGACAAATTACAAGAAACAAGCGTATAGTCAATGAAGTCATCTATATCCCCCACCCATTTTAACACGTAATGGTCCAAAACCAGGTAACTGACCCAACATTTCTCTTAGCCCATGTCAATATAGCTGCAATGGAAATTCTAAAATAAACATTTCTAAAACTCCTTAATATCAAATGGCACCTGTTCAGTATGTACTTTATATATGGACATGCAATGTTTGGCAAGGAAATATTTAACAGTTTATTTGTTATACTCCATAAGTGAACCCACCCTATATGTAAACCTAAATCCAACTTGTTGCCATGGAAACGTAAAAAATAAAAAAATAAAAAAATAAAAATTCCTAAATAGCAAAAGGCACTAGTTCAGTATGTGCCTGGTTGACATGCAAAGTTTTGTAGGAAAGCATTTAACAGTTTTTGAGTTACGCTCCAGAAACGAACACCACCCTTATAGAACCTAAGTCCAACTTGTTGCCATGTAAACGTAAAAAATAAAAATTTCGAAAATTCCTAAATAGCAAAAGGCACCAGTTCAGCATGAGTCTGATAGACATGCAAAGTTTTGTAAGAAAGTTTTGAATGGGTTTTGAGTTATGCTCCGGAAATGAACTCTACCCTATAGAATCGAAGTTCAACTTGTTACCATGGAAACATAAAAAATAAATTTAAAAAAGTGTTCCTAAATAGCAAAAGGCACCAGTTCAGTATGTGCCTGGTAGACATGCAAAGTTTTGTAAGAAAGTATTTAACGGTTTTTGAGTTACGAACACCACCCTTATAGAACCTAAGTCCAACTTGTTACCATGGAAACATAAAAAATAAAAATTTCTAAAATTCCTAAATAGCAAAAGGCACAACTTCAGTATGTGACTGATAATAAACATCTAAATCTTCTCACAAAGACATCAAACTTAGTCATATTGAAACATTACACAATGTTAAATCCAGCGTATTGTTTTTGTTGCAGATTACAATGTTGAAACATTTACCATTATTCCTGAATACTTGATGCAGAACATATTTGAATATCAATGCCAACAGCAAGTTCTATGAAATGTCTGTTGAGTTAATTATAGGTGCCATAATAACACTAAGCCTAGTAATGGTGCCAGTTATCTAAGACAAGATTTGGTGAACAACAGTTTAGCAACGTGACAACGGAAGTTGAGTGTCAATAGTGATCGAATCTACTCACAGCCAAAGCTATTCACACAAAGTTTCAGCTTTCTTGTGAAACTATTTCAGAAAAAATTAATTAAACCTTTTTAGGATGATAACAATGAAAATGAATTGAACAAACTATGCTGTCATCACTTCGTCTTCTTTTGCTCCAGCAGAGATGCAGTGTGAGAGATAAAGGTTAAAGGGACATTACGTCGACAGTTCTGTGTTTTAAAATCATGCATGAGTGTAGCATCACATGCCTGATTCAACTCTCAAACTGAAACAACTAGAGCTCCATACAATGAAGCTGATAATGCAAGTGCTGCACAGAGTAAACTGACTTCGATCTTGGTTTTTAATAGAGGCAAACAGAAGAGAAAGTTTGAGTTACAAAACACTAATTGCCAGCTAGATTAGATTTGAAGTCAGTGTTTATCAACACCTAGATTACAATAAAGTTATGCCTCGGTCGTGTGAAGCCAATCACTCTCCTACCCAGGGTTCCTAGAGGCCAGAGCGTACCTCTGTCACATCGTCGTCAGATCATACACAGTCTATTCATGTGTTTTTCATTTTGGAAATGTCTACACATTTAGTTATGAAATGAAATGTTTAACTTTCTTTGAGAAAATATCCTAAAACATGAAAACCTATTTCCACTTGCATCTTTATCCTCCATGTCTTAAAAAATTAGCTGTCACCGAAACCCTGTGGGGAGCTAGCGATACGGTCACCTCACTGTCGCAGTTGTAGTAGTATAGCTATATACTGATTAGGGCTGGGACGAGTTCAAATTTACTACCCGGGTACCCACCCCCTATTACCCAACCCTACCCCGGGACCCACTGTAGGCATCAGGAGATGTCTCAAAATGTCCGATTTGGAACATTTTTAGCATAGCCCTGGCAAAACCTATTTAGATACTTGTATTAAACAATCTGGTCATTCATACACTGAAGTTGAATTAAGTTATATCTTTATTCAACCATATGAAAAATCAGAAGGAATGGGTGCATAGTCCGAAAGAAACGCGAACATTAGTGACTTGTAGTGTAACCATAGAGTTTTCGATAATTTTTATCATTAAACAATATATCACTTGACTAACCACGGGTCCAGGTAGTCCTGTGGCGACCCGGATCCTACGCAGTACCCACCCGACCCGAGTACCCAAGTTACCCGTCCCAGCCCTAATACTGATGCAGGTAAAGGTAAAGTGCACTGAAAGGCTTGCATTAGGCCAGTCTGTTCTTATTTCAGCGTAAGTGCTTTTGTTTACAAACAAGGGATAAGTCCAGTCATTTGATAGCAGTATGGTCACTGGAGCAGAAACAGAATAACACGATCAGAGACAAGTAGGCTGTTTCAAAGTTTCAGAGCCATCGATGTCCTGTCAATATTTATCAAACACCAAAATACAGGCTGTACATGTTGAGTTCCATTTGAGAAATAATGTTGAAATTAATTACCCTAAATGAGATTGACAGCCACATTATAATCAGATTACAACAGTTGGAACAGATTAGGGAGTTATCACTGATGTGTATGAACATGACCAGTTGTTAGCCTCACTTGTCCCATAGTTACAGAGGAACGGTTACAGATGATACACCAGACATAACGAACACCCTCTGGACCTGCAGTCCAGGTGAGCTGTAAATACAGGTGTACTGGTAATATTGCTGAGAACTGCTAGCCATATGCTCACATAGGCCTCCAGACTGGACAGTAAAGTAAGCTGCAGTGAACAACAGTGAAGGTAAATTTATGTCAGAAGCTGGGAACATCTGTTTGCAAGGTCCATACAACAGCTTCAACAATTTCAGAAATCATCAAACATATTTATCAGTTGATGGCATTCTCTTTTATCTAGCAATGAACCAAAGTTTGCAAAAAGGACATTTGCATGTATCACTCAACTGTGGAGACAAAAGAAATCATTTACATAATGATTAACCAATACAAAGTAGTTGAACTTGAACTGTTCCTGATTTTTCTAGTCATGAGACAAAACCAAAATATATTTACATATAAATTAGGTGTATGAAAACAGTTAGATGTCCCTTTTTGAGAAAGTGGAAGCAGTGCATTTCAATTAATAGATTATTAAATGGAATTAAAAGTTACTTATTTAGTAATTATGCTTATGAGTGTGAACTTTATTTACCAATACACAACATCTAGACAGTGGCAGACGAAAATGTCACACAGATATTCTCCAGCATAGGTACATAGCTATTACCATTTAAGAACAGATCAGGACATCCAAACTCAGTGAAAAACAACGCCATGAGTGATTATTGTTTTACCCTGCTTTTAGCAATATTCCAGCAATATCACAGCGAGAACACCAGAAATGGGCTTCAACCATTGTACCCATGTGGGAAATCAAATCCGGGCCTTCAGCATGACAAGCGAATGCTTTAACCACTAGGCTACCCCACTGCCCGAAAAACAACACAGAAAACGGAAGGTATATATCCTGATATCTTTTATTTATACAATACTTCATCTAAGTGGAAAATGGCACCCATTTATGATTAAGACAGCCCCTGGATCTCAAACATCCAATAAACCAAATGACAGTAAAATTTTACTCTTACCATGGGCTGACATGGTACAGGACAGTACAGGACACAGTCAGCCAGCTGCAGACTGACACATAGAAAATAGGCTACACGATTCCTGCAAATGATTGTCTTGTCGCTGCCTGGGACTACAGGTCATGTGACGCCCTCCAGGTACAGTGATTCTGACGAGAGCATCACATCATACCTGAAGGTGGATGAGGTTATGAGTTTTGAAGATATTCCAGTTAAACTATACATTGTTAATGATACTTGTTACACAGAAATACACCAGTGGAGATTGTGGTCAAGTCACAGTGGTTACTATGCTGTTAGTAGAAGGACTGGGTTTGTCTCAAGTTGCACCTCTTGACATTATGCGATGGTAAACACTCTTCTTAGTTTCAGAAGCCAGTATTTCTTTCCACATTATACCATGTAATCACTGCAATCTGGGAAACAATATTTTTATATAATAAGAGTTTATTTCACTTTCAAAGGTGTATCAAGATTTCAAAATAAACTTCAATGGCAAGTCCCATGAATAATTTACTAAGCATCAACAAAAATCAAACAATTAATACTGTTTGTGATAATGAGATTTGTGCATTTCACAAACGTCATGTACAGTCAGTCTGAATGACAGTGGATGTATGATGTAAACAATCATTATGCATTAAATTGTTTGTACATAAATAACAGTGGATTGCCCAACTGCTGTGGGAATATGTCTCAAGTATCTGCTGCATACACTGTAGAATGATAGTGACATCTAATTACAAATGCATGAAATGAATGCATGATCTATCCACTATGATGCTAACACTCGTTTTGTATCTAAAATGATAATATTGCACATTTTCAAATATGTCATTTGCTTAAAAGTTAAACTTTAAATATCTTGTGGCATCAATGATAAAAGAAGTGGCTATAAAACTCATCTACTTAACACTGTGGTTTGTCTCATTACACTCAACTCGCATATAAAAGATTAGAAATCCTTTTCCTTTTGATGACTGTTGACAAATGTCACTCAAAGCAGTTGTTGACATGACACAGATTTATTCTCTTCCCCCAAACCTCAAACAAACAACACCCCCAGGCCAGCCTAAAAGTCTGAGTTTTCCCTTAATGGAAATGTTTCTCTGTTCCCGTATGGATCCAAAATACAAGGAAAGCATACACCCATTTTACTACACTGTAGAAATGTCACACATGAATTAGAATTTAGGAATAGTTGCGTGAAAAGACTTTTTGCCCAATTCACTTGTCCCAGTTATAGTGTTAGCTACAAATCTTTCACACTTAGTAGGATGTTAAACTTAATAGTTTTAAAGGCTTTCCCTGCACACATTTTACAAAATGTTCCCTCTTAGATCAATAACAATAACATACCTATATCAAATACAACATTTAAATGACTTAACTTAATTTCAAATTAAGTATTAACATTTATTAAACATATTTTCTCTCACAAGTTCCTTTAAAAGGACTGACGGCTTGATGATACTACCAAAAACTCATGTTAAAGCTGTTTTTTCCAATTGATAAATAAAATGAGTTTAAAAAGTATTAAAATGAAGCATTATAAAACATATTTGTAATGACAATTAAAGCTTTGAGTAACCTTCAGTCTGACTTGAAGTGAGCACTGACTGACACGTAATGATCACGGTGATATGAAGACAGTTCACTTTCACCTCATGCAGGAGCATCACATGTCCACTCCACACTGGAATATAGGGAGGCTACCTAAAACCTTCATCACAAAATCTAGTTTCATCTTTGATATAAACTGTGTGGCACACAATAGAAAACCATTATAAGAATACACACAGGTAGTTTGTGTCCAGGACATATGGACAGTCTTGTAAGTCCGTCGATATGGTAGGAGAAGGTCTTCAGTTAATGGAACTGTACATCACACAAAGTCTCTTCCAATGGCAATATATATATATATATATATATATGTATGTATGTATATAACATGGGTGGCAAACCTATACCTCCTCTCTCACAAATATACTGCAGTAATGTCAACACTGGACACATAATGGAACAAAACATTAATACTAAAGCCCACTGGAAACACTACACTCAAAGTGACGGACGCTGTTACAAGGAAGGGTGGATTAAAAGGGAGGAGCGCTTTCAATGATGGAAAAATTAGATCATTTTTATTGGAATGCTAGGATTGGTGTTTGAAATCACATTTGTCCAGATTACAAGTTTTAAGACTGGATTAAAACAAGGAAAACACAACACTCAACACTGATTCCAATGAGGCTACCTACACAAAATAAACAAATCATGATGGCAGGTCCGCGTGTGAGGGAGGAGGTATACACCGTTGCCTGGGGCAACAGACCTACACTCTCAATCTGCTAGAGACCGGCACATTTTGCATGCCAGAATTCAGAAAGCCATCTCTCTTCTGTGAGTGTATTTTTCTTGCAGACATTTTCATTGGTCAATGCCACTATGTCCGCTACAAGCCAACGTTATTGTAACGCAACATGCACACGCACACAAAGAACAAGGTCAAGGTCACAGTCTCAAGATCAGCACCAAAATAAAATCTCGGCTTTCAACAAATTCTCTGGGAATGATTTTCCTAAGGCATAAGGTTCTTTGTGAATTTATTGTTTTCAAAGTGAACTTTCTTTCTGGATTCTATTCATTTGTGTGGGTAAACAGGACTTGATAGTCCTCATAGCACTGTGTCAAATGTCTGCATCACGCACTGTCAATACATCCATCCTGCTGTCAGCAGCCAGGCGTGTTGGAGGTCCAACGTGCAGAAACCAATATGCGATAATGCTCAGTTTGTGCGATCGTCTTATAGTTTGATCCCTTTAGTTCAACATGCAGTAATAAATACAGTCATCATTCTCAAACAAGGAGAAACTGTGAGTAGGTGATTCTGCACAAGGTGCAGTCTGCCATTATAGTCCTCTCTTCTCTCTCCTGATTGTCAGGGTAACGGATATCACAACAATACCCGGAAATGAGTAGGCCAGATTCTGAAGCATCCATTTGTCATCAGGTCATATAGAGAGAGTCCTGCTCCAGATCTGGCTATCCCTTTGAGTAAGTCAGTCACTGCTTGTGGGCACACGAGTATCACTGCACAATCATGAGTATATTATGGGATGTGTGCTCACTCATTCACCGCCTTGTGGCGCTTCGTCTGTCACTGGACAGTAATCTCAGAGAACCAATCAAAAGATGTATTATATAGTGGCTATAACACTCGTGGGAGTCTAGAGGTAGCTTAGATCCAGTGCATGGTGAAGGGCTGCAAGATCGGAATGGTTGGATATCCTCCAGAAAGGCCAGTTCATCTGGAACGCAAGACATAAGTTGTCAGAAAAAAACTCAGCATCCCAACTTCAACAATAAACTTTAAGCTTAAAGTACGACTAAACATTACTATGAATAGAATTAAATATCTGCATGTCGTATTTGAGGTGTCACTGTGATTATTTACGTTCACTTAGGAAGCAGTTTAGGGAAAAATACATCAAATGGTACTAACTACCTGTTTGGCTGCCGACTCCTCATCCCGACCATCGCCCACAACAACATAAGTGCACTTCCTGCCAAACCGCGAGATGATCCGCTCAAAACAGCTCTCTTTACCTGCATCATGGAAAATTGATAATGGACCTCCAAACAAAGTATGTCAATGACAATCCCCTGTGCTGCATATCTACAATGACTTCTGCATCATGATTTGTTCTTTGTTCTGACGTATTTCTCACTAATATGGACTATTACTGTCATGAAGGAGTAAAGTCCTAATAAAGGGAATCTAATCATCAAAGACACTGCCAAACCATTTTTATACAAAGTGTTTTGCAATTACCCTTATTCAATTAGTCAATTCATGAAGAGTAAGTGAATGAATGCTGTTTCATACCACAGTAGGCAAATATTCAAGTTATATTAAGTTTAAGCTGGTATGACACACAATAAGCCAAGAAACTCATGGTAATTCCTGACCCCTCGTTACATCAACTCTTATAAACATGAATGGGAGAATTCATTACAGATGAATAAATTTCCTTACCTATTTTTGTTGCACTGTAGACATTTTCAATGTTGAATACACCCCCCAGACCATACAATAGAACTTTGGCCAAGGCTGGCACAAGCTGCGTCGTCGTAACCAGAACGTTCACACAGTTATTTCTGAAAAAGAATAAAAACATGTTACCATCAGGAATTCTCATCCTAAAACATTCATGCAATCTACATGCAGCATGAGTGAAAATGTAAGCATTCCTGGTAATGTTCATGTGATGACTCCGATGTGAACCACAGTTACTGGAACCCTGGTATCAGGATGAAGGCTCTAGCTTATGAAACACATAGCAAGTAACTTGTTACTACTGTCGTTAAGCCATGAAGTACTGATCACCGTTCCACAACACACCTTCATTGCTGCTAAGACGATCATAACTCCCATACTTTAACATTGACTTATGATAGTCATAAGATTGAACCTCCACCATACACACAAAGCAAAAGTTTTTAGCTGAAGGGTATATTTTCTGTCTAATGTAGTTGATATACACACCTAGAGCTGATGATAGAGAGAGACTTGAGAGCCAGGGTGAGCCAGTTGTCGGTTAAACTCTCAATCTCCTGTCGCAGCTGCAGCCATGGATCTCTCTTCTGGGGACCCAACAAACCTGAAACAAAGGAATACAACTGTAATTTCACTTAGTTACAACAAGATATTAAACATTCCTATTAGATTCAATAAATATGTTGAAAACCCCCACATAACCCAGTTTGTGTATTGCCTGCACACAGAGCACCATGGCTGTCTGGAGAGTGACAGCGATCCTGCAACAGTTGCATCTGGAAGTTGGTGTGACACAGAGCGAGTACGTGGATAGTTACCTCCAACATTGTTCCTATAGCTGTTGTAGATCTCCTTAATGCGCCTGTATCTGAAGGCCAGCTTTCTCATCCAGTCCACCCCTCCCCGCACGCCCGTTGCCAGACACAGGTTCGCATTGCTTGCCGCCGCATGGAAACCATCAGTGGCAAAATTATAATTGCTGCAAAAAAAATAAATAAAACAAATGGTGATGATAAAAGATTGGGCAATAGACGATAGAGAGAAGTGCAGTATACATCCTCTAAATACAAGCCTGGTTATCACACTACGGTGACCTTTCCTAGCATGTTATCACACACCAAGAGCAGTTAATCTCGCACCAACCGAACACATTGAATAACTGCATGGTCCCACTATGCGTATCAACTTCCAAAAGCTAAATTATCATCAAATAGCTATGAAAACTTTTAAAACATAAATAGACCAACAGGAACATAAGATGACATATTTTTTGCTTTCTAACTTATCCAAACCAATAGATAATGATGTTTTTGCCCCCCATATTTGAGTATTTGTGTAAGTTTAAGGTGTGATTAAGGTGATGGGAGGTTAACTGAGAGGCTGTCAGTCTGCCAGGAATAATATTGTATTTTACTGATTAACACACTGAAGCCTGATAGACAAGAAAGAAAAATCAGCCTTCTTCCCAGCAGGGTTCAACTTGACAGCAGTGGAATTAACCGACAATTTAGAAGGCAAGCCAAACATAAGGCCATCAGTACCCAAGTACCACAGCTTGCAATGCTGTACCTCTTCACAGTGTTCTCATAACTACTGCAGCAATCAGTTCTGTACTCCAATTCTAAGAGATTATTCCACATCACAATATATGTTACTGCATGGCTAGTGGAGTGTGGCAATTTATTAAACATCATTTTACTACATGTATTCACATTCTATTGTTGCATCTGATTTACTTGGCACCACATGCATTGAGGTGATTACAGTTTTCAGATGCTCACATAAACATGCAATTATGCTCTTAGCTGCTATATTATTTCTACACGCACCTTAGGTCTTGTCCATTGTCGTCAGAAGAAACGTCATCTATATGAACCTGGTCACATTCCTGGAAAAACAAATCAACCCATTGAATTCATAATAACATGGGAGAAAAGAGAGATCATATTGCATTTAACACCAGCCGCATATTATTAAAACACTAATTTCATTCCTACCTGCATGATAAAGAAAATATATCATGTATGAATTAATATTATGGCATTTCACATTTCTCTTTTGACTGCTGGTCCAGTACTATTGAGTATATAATGTTCTGTGTCAGCCTAGAACCCACTTTCCCAGTTTCCCAAGCTGGGAGACAAATTGGACAAGTTAAGTACCTCTTTCCATGGAGAGATCTAATTAATCACTTTCACTGAAGTGACATTGACATTTTGACAAAATCATTCAGAGAAATGGACAAACTTGCTCTCCCGGCTCTACTCGAAGTATTGTGGACAAATTGCCAGAAGCCTCCGAAACAACACGGTGGTAACAAAAGACCTGGTAATTTCTCTCTTTGTACACAAGCAGTAAGGGTCATTGGTCAAGTAAAGAAGGTGGTTGATGGCTTGACAAGGGAAAACCTGCTATGAATAGAGTAATTTCTGCCAATGATGAGTGTGTGTGTTCAAATACTTGTGATATGGAGTGGGGAAGTCTATCAAACTGACCACCCTATAAAACGCCTGTCCATCAAGAATCAAGCTATCCGTCACACATGAAGGTAGATGGGGCCCTGCATGGACCTGCCCATTAGGCAGACTTGGATGGGCTGGGCCAACTAACAATTCAGTAAATTACATTATGGACTGTTTATTAATAGGTACCTCAGACCCTCAATATCACTACTAACTTTGTATGTTCACATAATAGATTGATCTATTTCTCATATACATTTCTCAAAGTATACCATTTTTGGGGTCTGCTTTATTTACACTGATATATTCATCTTTAAAACAAATAAAAAAATCCCAATCTCAGAAATACATTTTTTGTCTCTTATCCACTGCGTGCTATCAAATATCACTAACATGGCTGTGTGTTATAAAGCCATGTGACAGACAATGGCTGCGTCACTGTGCTCTCTGGCTCGCTCTCTAACTACCCTCTGGCACTGGACCCGCCCGCACTCTTGCAATCGGACATATTGCAGACAGAAACCCTAAAAGAGCCTCACTTGATTTGTATAAAGCCAACCATTGACAAGTAGCCTGGAGAGACCTTGACAACAACAAAGCACTTCAAGTGACTATCAAAAACAAATCACATTGTCGCAGTTTGAACTCTATACAACGGTCATTTACTCATTAGAAAAGCTTTGACAACTACTTCAGACCAGACATGTCCGTGTCTGCCGTCGTAAACAAACAATACCATCACTGTGTCCAGATGTGCATGACAACACCTATGCCACATCACAGGGGGAAACCAACCTACACCATCTACCTATACATTTTCTACATTTAGGATGAACAGATGAAAGTAATCTTTCAAATGAAACCAATCAGACTTCCTCATACAAGCTTATCTAAAAATGGAATAACAAAGAGGTTTTTAAAAAAACAAACCTACCAAATAGAAATACATAATTTTAACCCTTTCTTTCTCTTCCTTTGTATGATATGTACGGGGATGCACTGAAGTCAATCTGGGTCACAACTGGATGCAAGCAATGAAGCACAACCACTTTCAGCTTTGAAATTTATAACCACAAAGAACTGGAAATAATAAATGCGATAATGATAATCATGCAAACATTGCACTGGTACGCATGGGCTATCTCTGAATATTTATGAAGTATTATTCTCCTTTGGTTTGCATCAGCACATGGGTTGAATGGAGAAAACCTGACACATTGTTGATGCATTTCAACCAACATTAAGTTTACCCCAAATAACATAACAAATAACATCATTTAATTTCATATAATTATTTTTCTTACACAAGATAGAATTTTATTCAGGTCACTACACATGATGTTAGTCACACAACAATCATAGAAGGTAAATGATAATATTCAAGAATGATTAATGTTTATTATCATTAAAACTTTTTTCCAATAATCTGATGTGTGAGTAGGAAATTAATTGTATCAAACCGATGACTTGTATGTCAGACTTGTATAGTATATAGGCATGAAGTTTCTCATTTCAGTATTACGGTACACGAGATAAAGATCGCTTAAACTCAATACGATGAAGCTGCAATGTGATCTAGACAAAGCCGACTTGCAAGTATTATACAGACAATCCTCCTCCCATCAACTCTCCTTTCCCTCTCTCCCCGAGTCAATCCATGCTGTGTTTTGTTTGCTAACATGGTGAAAACCCACAGTAATTATGACTGCTGACAGCCTTATTCAGTGAAAAATCCTAACACCTATACTCAAATATTTGTCAGGATGCAATGTCCGCGAGTACATTACCTTGCTACAGACGCTTCAATTCGATCCTCAGACAAAAGAAACAACCATCTTGTTTCTTAATCATTCCCAAATTCCTTGACGAGCACATGGAGGCGTGACTTGGCCAAAAGACTTTCACTTGTTGAATTATAACTGTACATATGGGATTCAGTCATGACATAGAGCTGTGTGTACTTAAAGAATTCAGACAAACTATAGAAGCACATATGTAGTGTGACTTTTTTCTATTAGGACAAAAAAAAAAGATTCTACTTATTTTAAGCAAGAATACATCATTTATGAGTTAATGATTCATGTTATTTCAGAAATAAAACCTGTTTTTATCATCCATTTAAATTGTGACAGTGTTCATCAAGTCGGAACATTATGCACTGTAATCCTTACTACTTTGCACCAACATAAAATCTCTGACATTTTCAATTCTTCTATTAAGAATTCTGTGCTAATCTATCAGCCATGGGATACTGACAGTGTCTGCAATAGAAATACATTTTGATGCCAATTATGGTAAATGCACTATTGCCGTTATACCTTTGAAACCTGATCTAGAAGCTCAAATGTGTCTACAAATACAATTTCCACTTTTTATGTCAAGAACTTAATCACACAGCCAGCAGCTTCACTGAGGGTTTTCATGTGTACACTAATAAATTGTCTTCTAATTTCTTTACTAGTCAGTTTACAGTTCAGTTGGTGAATTGCATCATGTGCCAACCATACATGTGTTGGGGTTAGGGGATTAACATTGTCCGCTACAATTACCACATGCAGCATCATTCTCTCAGAAGTTAAGGGAAATATGAAAATCAAGTTGGACAACAAAAGTAGTGAATATTTTACTAATAATCCTGAAATGATACAAGAGATCATCAACATCAATTTCCTGCATCCATCTCAAGACTTGTGATTAATGCTTAGCAAAACAAACGGTGTCCAGCCGGATCTAGTGTACATTTTCAGAGTTAAGCTAAGCAGCTGCATAGTTGGCTTATTTCAATATGAAAGGTCATATTCTCAATCTAGAGTCAATCTTTTAATAAAAAACGCACACCTTTCCCGAAAAATGTCACCCCCTAGTCTGAACTTCAAAGCCTGAAATAAGCTCAGCTTGTTGAAATCTTGCCCCGTCCCCTTTTTGGTCCGAGTTGATCATGTCCTGATGAAAATCTCATTACAAAAAAGCTTGGAGGGATTGAAATGAAGTCTTTATGGGGAAATATTTACACACATTGCTTAATAAGTCCCCTTCATGGCCCGTCAGGCTCTCAGGCGACAGACTGGCGCGGGCGAGTAAACAGCTGAGGAACACAGCATTGACGCGGGAGCAGTGGACCAACCAAACTTCACAGAATTCTGGCCACTTCAATTAAGCTTTCTGACGACACAGACAGTGAGGCAATTCAGAGACATATGACGAGGATCTTCAAGGGGTTTTGAACTTTCTTTTTGCATATTTCTCGCAAGGGATTTACTCAAGAAAAACCCATAGCCATAATTGATTAACCAGACAGTTTACTTGAACGAACCTTTCCATTTTTCAGCATAATTAGACAACAATGTGGGCCTTTGGTGTAAATTGGTGGCTAGAACAGGACAAAGCCATCAATGTTTGAGTAGAGACCCCGTTGTCTTGTGCCACCTCAAACTAACTGTAACACCATGGACAATGATGCTGCCCAGTCCGTCTGCTAGTAATGCCTTATTCCAACAGACGCCATCTTCAACCCACCACAGGCAAATTTTAATCAGCTATTCAACTGTAACTCAATTATTGCCAGGAGCTATTTACAAAATAACACTGAAGCAAAAACTGTCATTATCAGCACTATTGTTGAGTAAATCTTTACGGCAAAATCACTGGGATGTGACCAAATCCGGAGCGACAATTTGGGGAGAAGAGACAAGCCAGATGGGAAACGAAGACAAATTGTGCAAGGCTTTTAGTTTTTGTGTTTAATTTGTTTTACAATTAGGAATTTAAAAAAATTCAATTAGCTAACAGACCACGACAAATTGTGACTCAAAATTAGAGACTGCGGTTTATAATAAATAGATTACATTAACAAGTATAGAGGGCAAGTATTCTTCATGTTTATTCTAAGAATATCTATGGGGCTTGTGTTCAAATATATGGCAACACACTGTCAATAGGTGACATTGTTTCAGAAGAGATATATTTGTGCAGGGCTATAGTAACAAATGTTTAAAATGATTACAATGAAATTACATGCATAAAAAGCTGAGGGACAGGCTACACGACAAAAGTGTCCACATAACTCTTAATAGGTGTTCATCCCAAGACGACAGCGGTCTGCATGTAGTAACATGGTAATTGACACACACAAGGTAGTTTCCTGTAGGATCACATAGCACAAACGTAGTCAGCCATGTGCACAATTGCAAGAAACGGACTGTATCAACCATTAGAAATGTACCTACCTCTAAATCATTAAAGAACAAATGCGTGTCAGCTAGATTGAAAATCATCTCCTCCATGCGTAATCCTAACGACACACTAGCAGGGGGGTCCTGAAACAAACAGATATCAAGTTAAACACATTCACTAATGTTGCACACATCAAAGAATACACACATTTCCTGGATGAATACTAAAGATATTTTTAGCCGTTTTTATAAGCATATACAAGTACTTACTATAGATGTAGAGTCATTCAACATTGTTACCAAGCAGAAGGCACAGGACATTCTTCCCTCCCTTCCTTCCACTAACAATGCATGCCACAGTGGAGAAAATACCTACTTGCTAGATTTGTAAGACTCCTGGATTTCTAGTCAATGTTTGGTTTGCACAATAGGTACTTTATATAATCCTTTCCCTCGTCATCATAATGATGCACCTTTTTGTTCATTTCACACCAGAAAATGTCAGTTTGTAATTTTTATAAAAATATGATCAAATATGTCAGATGACACTGCAAATAAGTTTACATTTTACATAAGATATATTGAAAATTCCATATTAAAAACTGATATAATTCATCTCCAAACCTTCTTCAACAATAAAAGGATTGAGATAAAAGCATTATTTATCATAAGTTTTTGTAGCTGAAAGGCAGAAATGAGTTTAATTATGGCTGGCTGTGAGAGGTAAGTGAGGGGAATGGATGACTGAGCCTGGCAGTACAAGGCTGATCTGGGGCTAGTTTTCTTTATTACTGTCTGTCAGATCTAGTTAAAGAGGATAAATGCCAATCTAAGAAAGTCGTGTCTGTGACCCGGCCTATCTGACGCTCAGCTAATCACCAATAACAGCCAGTAATTGTTCTCCAATGGAGCACAATCAGCAAAAGAGGCTCTGATTAATGAGATTTAGAAAGGCAAGGAGTAGAAAGCTAAGATTGAGAAAGTTATTTGGACCAGCTTGACAGTGGGCACACCAGACCCTGGATGTGTGCTGCGTTCACTACTACATGGGCTTGCTCGGCAAATTCCCTCTGCTCTGGCACACAGACCTGCTTTTTGATGAGGGATAATAGGTTTGAATTCTATTAAGCTTGGAGTAATAGAGAGAAAATAATGTGGGAATCGCTCCCGATCAGGCCTGTTTGACAGTGATTTGATGACACCCAGTTTTCCATTACAATTCCCCCTCTTGGGACAGCACATCCAAGCTTGGCCTTCAAATGCCTTGTTTCTCTTCCTCCGCTACTAAAGATTTCCACTTCCAGTCACACATGTGCTCGTAATGTTTTCCTTAGGGATAAATGTCTAATCATACAAAATGTTCTGATCTTGCTCAAAATCCCTTGTTTGCAATTACTAGTCTCTAATCTTAGAAGGGTTTTCATATTAGAAATAATTCTCACAATTTAACCCTGGGCAGTGGGGTATTAACTCATCATTGCCAGGATCATGGCATCTCTTTTATGGTACAACTGGGGAACATATCTCTCAATTTTCTATTAATGTGTCCAAACTTTACATTTGGAGAACAAACATGATGATTATAAGACAAGAAACAATTAACACAAAACAGGTTTCAAATCAGTAATTTGGACCATCTAGAAATGCTGGTGGCCATTCATGTTACACTTCAACATTAAACATTTTCAAAGTCCTTACTTGAAATTTATACAAATATTTAAGAAGGAAGAGAAAAATCACTATTTTTGAATCAAGATTTTCAAACAATTAGGATCGAACAGTGTAGAAAAAGAACATTCCTAACACAACACTTCTGTATTAAGATTAAACCAGACAGTATCTGCCACAATGAAAATTCGCTCCAAGTAATCATTACTTCTTCAGTCAGTTGTAATTTCTCAGATTGTCAGTGTTAGTTTTGGTGTCGGAAAATACTTGAATTTGAAGCAGAACACATTTAAAGATGGTACGACCTTCAAGACACTCCTATTTGTAAAATAACAAGTTGTCTGTTCTAATTCATCCCGTGGCCATTCTCCCCTAATCGGTATTGATTATACAGAAGGCCCCAGCCTCATAAAGAATTAGCGATTGCGACTGGCTGCAAATTTATTGTTATAACGGCTGATTTTCCATGTTCGCTGTTCACCTCCCAATGATGTCTGGCGGCAACTAAATCAACCATCACACCATTTTAGCTTTCTGTTGACATTTCCAATTGCACAAAATTTGAATAGTCCCAAACACGGTCACTAATCCTTTCCGACATTTTCATCCAGCAGAATGGCCATGGCTCACATGGTCGATTCATCAAGAGATTTGCTCGATCCTTGTCGTCTTCAAACTTATTCAAAATGTGTGTACAGCTACAGCCTAATTTCTATAACGCATGTGTACGATGTTTACTTATCAGTCTTCCCCTATTACACTAGCATGGCGGATATTTGCTGAAAATAATGCCCCATCCCTGCGAAAGGCAGCAAACTAGGGAGAAATTACTTCAAGTGCATATCATTGCGCGGTATAGAAGACTCGTGTGTAATTCAGGACAAGGGGGGGTTTAGGGGGTACTAACCCCTGCCCCCTGCACCTGTTATGGTGGGAGGTTCAGGTAACAAGCAACACTCACAGGCTTTCAACTTGGGCCATGTTTTCTTTCCTTGGCTTTTATTGGAAAGTCAAGTATTTGCTCAACAATTATATCAAGAAAATGCTCAATGACAATGAATTTAGCATTTTATTATGTCATATCAAAGTACCTTCATACATTTCACAATCAGAAATGTTATCAAATTATTTTCACTCATATAAAGTGACAAAGACATTTAGAAAATGTGAAATGTGTTTTTATATATCTTGGAATTGAAATAGGTAAAGCCAATAATTTGTGAAATAATCTATTAATTTTTAACATTGTCTGACACCAACAAAATAAATAAATAAGAGTCATGTGACTAAAAAATAAGCTTTCCCAAATGATTATCTTTGTACAGATCAACTTGAAATAAACAATTCTTGCAAAATTAGCTTCATCATTTTACTGTTTTCAAGCACATGGCCTAAGGGCTTCACTGAGTAACCCGAAAACATTCCTAAACAATCACAAAACATCTAAAACAAATACATCTTGAGACATAATGTTTTTTTCGGTGAATGACAAGGAGCCTTATCAGCAAGCCATTAATCAAAGAGATAAGTACTGTGTGTTGAACTATATCTCTAACATGCTAACAGATGACCCATCCTTTAGCACTGCCAAGCTCTATCTACATTGTGATAGATATGGACTTGGACAAATTGAATTTCTCACTTTTAATAATGCGACCCACTACTTTTAAAAGGAACTTTGTGGATCAGTATTCAAAGTGAAGCATATCAGATACTCATAATGGCTAATGGATATGTACAGTGCCAGAAAATGCATAAAAAATTGTAGTTTGTATTTTAGGTGCAAATCCATGGAATTCTTGATTTCTGTTTTGTATTACCTTACAGTATCTATTCACAACACAAAGGTATTTTTTGCCTCGAGAGAAAAATAAATCATTAAAAACTCATGACTGAAACCTATCAAAAATATTTTAATTTTTTTGGGTGAATCAAGGATGGCATGATAGCAAATGGTGACACTATTCAGTATGTGATAGCTTACAAATGTGAGATAAAAAGTTTGTATCTCCTAACCAGTGTTTGAAACTCTTGCAATGACATATTGATAAAGTTTATCAAGCACTATTCAGGATGTGGTAGGCTGGATGGGCAGTCTGTCCCACTAACGACATCAAGCCAATATATAGCCTCCAAATCTAGCTCCAGGATTATCTTATTAGGACTAGTCTTTCCAGTGGAGTAAAATTCAAACAAGCCCTTGACGGAGGAAGCAGTCTGTCTCCCGTGGGTGCGAGCATCCAACATCAAACACAGAAGATAATGAGGCAATCATTTCCACTTTACCGCTTTGCTCACCCCTAACTCACACACTGTCAGTTTGAATTTGTCTACGGACTTGTGAGCCACAGACCCCCACATACTGCCATTGTAGTCCTTCACTTTATGTTTACTGATTTGATGTAGGCAAGTCTTGGCCAGCGATTTCAAGTTTCTACCCCTTCACAACTTGCACGGCAAGCAAGCGTCCCACCACACTACACTGCCCCCCTCCCAAATCAAACAATTAAGATTTCAATTAAGATAAGCCCACTTAGTGTGGAGGGTCTTGCTACAATTTGACAAGGGCAAAATAATAGTAACATCTTGGCTAATGGGTGTAATCCCGTACCTCAAAGAAGCACATGAATTAGCATACGCATATTTCACAACTGTACGCATATTTTGACAATCTCTGCATGATGACAGAAGATCAAAGAGAGAATTTCAATAGTGAGTTAAGGGACTATTCCTGCTGTCTGATGCCAAGTATATTGTATGTCAGTTGAAAGCATGCAGGCTTCCCACAATCACCACAGGTTTTCTCTAAACACATGTCAACAGCCTGGAAATCAAAACAACTTCAAAGAAAACTTTCCCTCATTGTAGAAACATTCAATAAATTCTTCAACTACAAAGTGTAATTGGACTTATAATATTGTCAAAACAAACACACTAAGAATTACATTAACAGTTACCAACATTTTCAAAAACAATCCCGATCGAAAGTACTACATGTTCATCACAGGAGGCCGTTCTTCCTAACACCATTAGGAAATTGATTGAAAATTCATGTACAGGAAACATTTATCTTTACTCCATTCTGCTGTCAAACAAGGTAATAAGAAAAGAAAGCAATTTATTGAAAAATTCAGGAAACAAGTTTGCCAAAAGCCATTACAATGACCTAGCATGGCCATATAGCTGTCACAAACAATAGACCTCTACTGGTTCCCAGAACTCTTAGACAGGTGCCCCTTCCCAGAATGCCATTGGAAAGGATGGAGGGGGGTTTGTGAGGGGAGGCTTTTAAATCAGTTTCTCATTAGCAAGAGTTGCCCCTCTAAAGTTGAGTGTAAAGTCATCTATCACAAAAGCTGTCACTTTTAACACTTAGTTTGACATTCCCTTCCATCAAAAGTGTACCCACCCACTTCACTTTTTCTTTCAATTAGTTCCCTCTCTGTTGTGGTATATACCAAACTTACAAACACTTC